TAATGAAGGACATAAAGTCAAAATTGCGATCGTTTGCTTATTACAAGGAGAATTAACTCTTTTTTAACGAATTTCAATAAAACTAAGTTTAGATGTAAATATGTGTAAATATCGTTGAATTCCATTAATATATTTATGTTTTAGAACGTTTTAACTGTGACCAGTTTTTTTCGTGTACATTCTTTAGTACAAAAACTATTTTATAAATTAATGAGGATATGTACATACATACATATATGTTTGTCAAATTTTATGTTTGTTTTTTTGTTGATTGAAAATACTGATTCATCGCCTTAATAAATATGTAAATTAATTACAATAAATTGTACTTTTTTTTTGTTATATCAATCATAGTATAGTATAGTATACTTAAATAAAAAAACAAAACAAAAAGTAAAAAATACCCCAAAAACACCCCAGCCCTAAAATGCCCTTAAACCGTACCCCTCCCAAAGGGGGAGGGCAGGAATCGTCTCAGCAACAACAACAGCATAGACAACAAAGATCACAACAGCAACAGCAGCAACTTCCTCTGCAGCTCGAAACACCGCAAAAGTCAAATTTACATTTACAGACACAACAAGAACAGGAACAGCAACAACAACTGTCGAACCCAAGACAGACACCAAATTCGTGGAGCTCACAATGCCCCACCTCGGACAATAGTAAAAATCCAAATATACAGGATCAAATTGAGCTACTTCAGAAACAGCTACAATTACTCTACCAACAGCAAGCCTCAAATGATAAATCTACCCCAGGTAAGGAATGGATCACCGTAGAACCCAAAAAAAGGCCCGAGAAAGCCCAGGTAAGCCCACAAATACCAAAAAACCAGCAAAACTTGATAAGTACTGGCTAGGCGAACCTCAGGCTAAAGAAAATAGGTTTTCATCACTTGTAATAGAAGACGACGAAGAACCAAAGCCCAAAGAAAATAATCCCAAGCCCCCACCAATCTTCGTAGATAAAGTAAGCAACATTACCCCCCTAATGAAGTTTTTATCTGAAACCGCTCCAAGTCTGCACGAGTTAAAGCTCATAAGCAATGAGCAAGTTAAAATACAAGCAAAAACTCCCGAGGCCTACAAAACAATTGTTCAGCAACTAGAGCAAAAAAACACTGAGTTTTATACATACAAGCCAAAACAAGAAAGAAATTTCAAAGTTATACTCAGAAATATGCACTCGTCTATTGGCACCGAAGAAATCGCTGAAGCCCTACAGAATCTCGGTCATATCCCTATTAACATTTACAATATGAAACACAGAAACACGAAAAATCCGCTACCAATGTTCATTGTAGAGCTAAAAGCAAACCCTAATAATAAGCAAATATACGAAATCAAATATCTCTTTAACACAAAAATTGTATTTGAACCCCCACGCCCAAAACGCGAAATCCCGCAATGCGCTAACTGCCAACAGTATGGACACACAAAATCATACTGTCGTAGAAGACCGGTATGTATTAAATGCGCTGGCCCCCACTTGTCTGCAGATTGCTCGCGCAAGACAAAATCCAACGATGTTAAATGTGCTCTATGCGAAGGAAATCATCCAGCAAACTATAAAGGATGCATGGTGTACAAAAATCTGCAGAAACTCAAATACCCACCATTAAGAAGAATGGAGGACAACAATCCCAAAAGTGTCAGCCAGCAGCAATCAGCTCCACTTTCTCCCATTCGAGTCTCGCAACCGCCCCGAAATTTACTTTCTTACTCCCAAATGTTGAAAAGCAAACAAGCTCCGAGTCCAAGTAACTCTCTCCCTCAATCAAAAGAAAACGCCTCTGATGCCTCAATTTAATTGCGAGAAATGATAATGCTTCTCAAGCAAGTCATGCAACAAATCACAACTATGATGAATCTCCTCGTCACCCTTACGACGAAGTCCAGTATCCCTACAATTCCATGAATATTCTCCTGTGGAATGCTAATGGCCCATCAAAACACGTACTCGAGGTTAAAACGCTACTCAAGTCTAATAATATAGATATTCTCCTAATATCCGAAACCCATTTCACCGAAAAAAGCTATTTTCAAATGCCGAATTACAAACTCTATAATACAATGCATCCCGATAAAAAAGCACATGCTGGCTCAGCTATATTAATAAAAAACAATATTAAACACTTTAATATTAACTCATACTGCACGGAAGCTATACAAGCTACTAATATAGTTGTCGAGGACTTGAAAGGCCAAATAACAATCTCAGCAGTATATACCCCACCCAAGCATGCGATCAAGTCAGAAGATTATGTTAAATTCTTCAAAACTCTAGGAAGCAGGTTTTTAGCTGGAGGAGACTACAACGCAAAACACCCACAATGGGATCTCGCCTCATCACTCCTAAAGGCCGACAACTCTTCGCGGCTATGGCAAGATTAAATCTTCACTCAGCCTCCTCAGGCTCTCCAACGTATTGGCCAACCGATACAACAAAAATTCCAGACTTAATAGACTTTTGCGTGTTTAAAGGTATTGGAGATAATGAAATAATATGTAATCCCTGTTTCGATTTATCCTCAGATCATTCTCCCGTAATGGTCACTCTAAGCAATAATTTTGTTGACTCAACTTCTCAGTGTTACCTTCGCAACAACAGAACTGACTGGAATCTCTTCCAAAGCTTAATATCTTCAAAACTAAATTTGAAACACTCGCTGAAATCTAGCGAAGATATCATTGCAGCTGTTGAACACTTCAATAACTGCATCCAACAAGCTGCTTGGAGATCAACACCCATTCTAAGCAAATCACAGTGCACAAGAATCCCTTCTCTTGTAAAAGAAAAACTGACCAAGAAACGCCAGGCTAGAAAGAAGTGGCAGCAGACTAGACATCCCGAAGACAAAAGAAGATTTAATACGCTAACGAGGGAGCTCAAAGAACTCTTGCAAAAAGAACGCAATTCCCAACTTCATCATTATCTCAGTAGCTTAGATGCAATAGCTGCCAGCGATTATTCCCTCTGGAAAGCAGCAACAAAATTAAAGAGGCCAACTCTGGCACAACCCGCTATCAGAATGGAAAACAACCAATGGGCTAAAAGTGATCTCGACAAAGCAAGCACATTTGCACGTCACCTAAAAAATGTGTTTGCTCCGCATGAAATTGAACCCTCTCCCAATACTGCACAAAAAGTAAGACAGACTCTCGAACAACCCTACCAAATGGACCCACCCTTAAAAAAAATTCTCAAAAGCGGAAGTTAAGGAAGCGATTAAAAATTTCAAAGCTAAGAAGGCTCCCGGCTACGATCTGATCACTGGAGAAATATTAAAACAGCTCCCGGAAGAAGGAATCACTTTCCTGACTTATATTTATAACGCAATTCTCTCATCTGGTTTCGTTCCACCTCAATGGAAAGTTTCCCAGGTAAAAATGATTCCTAAACCAGGAAAAAGTGCAGACAAAGTTGAGTCACATCGGTTTACTACCCATCGCCTCTAAAACTCTGGAGACCCTTTTTCTCAAAAGATTGATGCCAGTAATAGAACAAAGAAAGATTATCCCTAATCACCAATTCGGTTACAGGAAAAAACACAGCACAATCGAACAAGTTCACAGGCTTGTAAACTGCATTCACACTGCATTCGAACACAAAAAGTATTGTACAGCTGCATTCCTATCTATATTTCAAGCTTTCGATCGAGTATGGCATGACGGCTTACTTTACAAAATAAAGAGTACCCTCCCAATAAACTATTTCATCTTTATCGAGTCCTATCTCAAAGATCGATTTTTCTTCGTTAAGCATGGCGAGGAGCAGTCTGAACTCTACGAAAGTTCAGCTGGTGTACCTCAAGGCAGTGTGATGGGTCCCATCCTTTACCTGCTATACACATTTGATTTACCATCATCCGAAGGAGCAATTGTTGGCACATTTGCAGACGACACTGCAATTCTCGCAATGGACACACTTCCACAACTCGCTTCGCTTAAACTCCAAAATGGCCTAAACAAAATAAACACAATGGCTGAAAGATTGGCGAATTAAGCCAAATGGGACAAAGTCTGTCCAGGTTACGTTCTCCCTTAAACGAAAAACCTGCCCACCCGTAAAACTCAATAACGAGGATATTCCACAGCGTGATGCGACAAAATACTTAGGTATGCACCTCGACAGCAAGCTGACGTGGAAAACTCATATTTTCACTAAACGCAAAGCACTGGGAATGAAGCTCAGAAATTTACATTGGTTACTGAACCCGAAGTCTCAAGTCTCACTCGAGAGTAAGCTCTTACTCTACCTCCAATATAGAAATACTCCAAAGATTCCAATCAAAAACCCTTAGAATGATTGTGAACGCTCCGCTCTATGTCACAAACAACCAAATACACCGTGACCTGAAAATCCCTACTGTTGCTTCCGAAATTAAAAAGCACGCCCTGGCGTACCAACAAAAAGTTCATGATCACCCAAATCCTCTTATTTCTACACTCACTTCTCATACAGTGTCATTCCAGCGACTTAAAAGGAAATCAATATTAGATCTCTAATAACATTGAATACCTGCGAATAGAATATGGTTGCGCCACTGGGTGTACTCCATACATGATTATTTTCTTATTTAGTATTTAAGTTTCAAATATTGCTTAATGTTAAAAGAACAAACAGATCGCAATAAAATATATGAGTTCAAAAAAAAAAAAAGGTGGCGTATCGCGGCTTTCTATTTTCCATATAAATTACTTAGAAAATAATTGTTTTTGTCTTTGGAATTTGTTTTCTCGGCTATAAATTATCAAGGTAACATATGCGATACATATTTTTGTAGGAAATTAGACGTTCCACAAAAACGTCGCTTATCATTTTTTGATAAACCTATTGGTTTAACGGTTATTCACACTTAAGGTTAAATTGATGTCATTATTACAGTTTTTTAGGTAAAGTAATTAAAATTATTTTCAACTATCCAAAAAAGAAGTCATTTAAAAATTGAAATTGAAAAGTTTAATAAGTCTTCCAAATTAATTTTACTAAAAACCCCCCATTACGGGGAAATCTTAATTAAAATCCTTTCTATTATATTGAGTTATGTTCGAAAGTTCGTTTTATCATTTTTCCACTAAAATTTATTTTAATATATTTTTCTAACAGGGAATTAAAACTTTAGGGATGTTTGTAACAAATTTTGCAATACTTAATGATAACACTCGATCACAAATTTAACAGCCTTATGCTATATAACGAACGAAAGGCAATACGATCAATTCGTCTGCAGAGGAACGCTTCAAAAATTAGTTCGGCGGCATCATTCTAGCCGGTTTAAACTCAACCGAGACCATTGCATCGTAATATATGAAAAGCAAGGCGAAGGCGACCGATAGAGTAATAAAATCGCAATCATAGATGTTGTCGTCTGCAGACGAATCGTTCGTGATACAGCATAAGGCTGTTCATTTTGTTTTTGTTCTCCAGCCGCCTCTATCCAATTTATATGTAGAATCGCTCGCTGATTCCAAAAATGGAGTGAATTTTTTTCTTTATGGATAAGTTTTCGGGATATTTGCAATATACCGTTGTTCAGATTAACACGTTCGGCTTCATTTAAATTTTGCGGGTGGCTACCAGAGAA